TGTAGCGACCTTGAGCACATTGATTCATTTACTTTCATTGTCCTTGAGAGCTTTCATCATTGCACATTATATCGAACGATGTGCAGATTGTCTTAAGGCTTTACGTAAAGCTGCTCTCGCCATATACATCGCTCTAGAAGCATGAATGTATCCTGTAGTTGTTCATATTAATATCGGTGGTTACTTTTAGTCAGATTTACAATAACAACTGATTTACTCTTCATCACACTGCGCATAACGATTCGATTACTGTGCTTTACAAGCTCTTTGGTTTCACAATTAAAACATCGATCACGGGATTAGTTCCTTCTTACCAAGAGTTTTAAACTCCGCTAAAACTTTGTCAAACTTTTATACACCTTCGTTATCAAATCATTATTTTATTGAATTCTTTATACAATGCTTTACGTCTTTGAAACATGTCTTCTTTAGTAGGCTGACGAGTTTCGCCATTACTTTGGAGAGTCGGAAAGAGCATATGGTTAATGATGTACGAATAAAAGAATTATCGCATGTGGGATATTAAAGTTTATTCTTCGCCTTTTAATATAATAAATTGTATTGAAGAACGAAGCAAACGAATATGAGGGATAAAAAGCGCCACTAAAGAAATTAAACCAATTGTCGAATAACCATTAATAGATTACTTAATAAGAAATTTAAACGCCGCTATATAATTTTTATTTACTTAAATGCTGGCAATAAAAAATAGAACAAGCGCCGCTCTCCACTAATATGAACATTGTATTCACCATATTTCCGTGGTAAAATTATCTCAAACGAAAAAAGAAAAAAAAATTAAAAAAACTACGTTGTAAAGAGAGTAAATAAATCGTTATTTCTCTCACCACGTTTGGCTTATTCCTATTACTGTCGTTGCATATGCACTTATACTCCGAGATAGATAAGCGAGAGTACAAGTCACCGCAATAACCTGTGGAACATTGTGTTCATACATACATGTACTTGACTATCATTGTTTACAATCTAGCGATTTTAATACCAACTACATCATGAACATTTTGCATTTTTCTCTTTGCGATGCTTCGTCTAGCGTTATACCTATCTGTTCATATGTTATTCATTAGGGCTCGTCGAGGGAGCGTTATAAGCTCGCTCTTCATAATTAGTCCCTCAAATATTTCTCGATATTAACTTTAATAAAATAAATGAATTTTTGCAACGACAGCATATAAAAAAATTTCAACAAATTTTTCTTCGTAACTAGTACGAGAAATGCGGTAAATAATAGAATAGAATAGAACTAAAAACAAACGTTTATTGCTTAATTGTCTATCGAGGGATATATCCCATCATTAAGTACCCCATACAACTTCACTTAATGCAGTTATTCATATAACGACTTTTCAAGTTAAAATTTTATGTAGGAAGTAATCGACAAAGTGCTCCCATACGAACTGTATTCCGAACAGAGTTCGTTCTTGGGACAAAATAAGTCGGTTTGGATCACGTTTATCTAGATATGTTCGCGACCTTCATGTTCAACACAAGAAAGCAAGGCAGAGAGATGAACAAACGCACATACGGACAGCCAAGCTTAGGTGAATTTATTTCAGGTTCTTCTAGGTGTTGCATACGTCCGCGTAAATTTAATATACCCCCGTACCACAAACAGTGTAGGCTAATTAAAATTCCCAGAAATATTTTAAGCAGATGTTTTTCACTCGCATGTTTAAAAGACATCCTTGCCGATCTTAAATAAAAGCAAAAATTTTTGCCAGCACTTTAAGAAGCAATGCTACTTTGCGAACACGAAATTAGGGGTAATTTTCTTGGCCTTAACTAAGGAAGCGCAATTAGTTTATTGAAACGAATTTAATCATTTTTTAAACAAGTTTTTAAAGGTTAAATGACGGCAGCACAGAATTCTTCGCAAATTAACCATTTTTTATAGCATGCCCTTGCGCTTATTCCTTACAGGATGCATTCTAGCTAACTAAAATAGAAAACTAAAATGAATTTCTACTTGATATTACTCTGCGTCCCCAATTCACTCGACTATCTCTATGAATTCATGCACAGGTGAAACATTTATAATAAAAATAAAATAAAAAGTTATACAAAAATATTTTAAAATTTTTGAATCTTTATCACCATAGTTGGAGGTGGAGAGAACTCTGTTAACAATAATCACAACGTTAAGCTTTGCAGTTTTATTAAAAGATAAAAAGATTAAATTAGATTAGTGAGAAATATTCACGAATTCGTTCCTTTGTTAGTCTGTCCGTTAGTGCTCGTTGCTGTGCTCGTCTGTCACCTATTCTCATGGCCAGCGTCGCAAAGTTGCGAAGGTTAAAACTAAAACAGTTCTAATCGATCAATTGACACGCCCTAATTTAGTCGGATATTAAGCAATTACAATGGTACGGTTTGAGCTAGGGGATTTCAAGGATTAGTCTCAAGAAGACCGTAGTCTTTACGCCCATCGTAAAGGGTCGGAGAATATGTATATTTTGTCTAAAAGTTTACAAGAAGGAAATTTCAGCGTTCCTATAAACTGCATATATTGTTGACCATTAATAATTTTTGCAAGGGTGGGGCGAGGGTATGTGTCCATCTCTTTCTTTATTTATGTACGTCTTGTGGTAAACATTTCCTAAAAAATAAGTTGTCGGCTTTAAAGTTGTCGAAAATTCAGGTTCAGGTGAATTTTGGAAATGAGCTAAAGACCGGTTCGAAAATTGATTGAAATGAAAGGGTATTTAATAAAATTGACCGATGAGTACTGCATAGGACTAATCGCAAGTTGGAATATAATACAAAATTACAAAATCGTGCATCGTTTAGATTTGAAAAGAACTGTAGAAAAATGGCTTAGCGGGTATAGCTATTTTAGTTATCAGTCTCCCTTATTAAATTGTTTTCGTTTTCTTAAGAAACAATAATTGCAACTATTTTCGTGTTTTTCTCTCATTTTTCGAATTGACAACATTGTTATTGTCAATAGTAAGAAATGTGGTGAAAAAAAAAAAAAAAAAATTAGCAGATAAAGATGCAGTGGCTAGGAGAAGAGAGACAAGCATCCTTAACTATAATAGTTAAATGCAATCAATGCGAAAGTTAAACATTTAGTTGTGTAGTACTGTGGTAAAGTCAACTCTGTCAGAAGCGAATTAAAGCCGTAAAACCAGTTAGTGTTTGGTTAGTCGACTCCACTACTAGACGACAACAAATCAGTTGAGCTTTTGCAAACGACCGTGGAAGGTGTATAAAGTTTTTTGTGCGCGCGTGTTATTTCGATGAAAGAAGAAAAATATATATAAATATATATATATATATATATAATAAAATAATAAAATAAACAAAATCACAAATAAATTGTAAGGGAAAAATTTTTTTTTTTTTTTAGTTACAATTTTTTTCTAATTTTTTTTTTTTTTTTTGAACGTTTGCTGTAGTTGAGTAAATGTATAAATTTTTTTTTTAACCGTTTTTTTTTTTAATTAATTTTTTTTGGTATTTTTCTTTTTTTTGTGTGGAATTGGGAAAATTTTTTTTTTTTGGTTTTGTTTTGATTGTGAATGTTAATGCGAGTCTGTTTATCGATATTAACTGAATTGCAATGAAAATAAAAACACAAACAATTCCGTATCTAAGAGAGTTGTGTGCAACCGAATGTGCGTATGTGCTATGGTGTGAAATTTTTTTCTTTTACAAACAGCCTTGAAAACTGCTGGTGCCGCTGCTACTGCTGCTGTTGCTGCTGCTATTGGTGTTGGTGTTTATTAAAACACAAAAAAGAAATAAAAGCCTAAGATAAATATAAGATGAAAACAGAATTAAAAAACAGAAAAAAAATCTAAATTTTTTATATATATAGATATGTACATATATGTGTATATATCTGATGTGATGCGATGCGATGTGATGTGATGTGTGTGTGTGTGTATGTGTGTGTGTGTATATATATGTCTGTATTTTTGTTTGTTTGCATTTACGTGCGTTTATTTGAGTAAGTATGTGCATAGACAGCATTTACTTGATTATAGCCAAACAAATAAATAAAGAACGAAGAAGAGAAAAACGCTACACTCTTTGGGTTTTGGTTCGTTCGGCTGAAGCGCAACACAGATACTTGTTTGTAGAAACAACTGAAACCTTATTGCTGTTACTTTTGCAGATTACTGCTGTGCTGTCACGGCTGTTGCCGCTGCTGTTGCTGTTGCTGTTGCGGCTGCTGCTGCTGCTGTTGCTGTGCTTATGAAATGTATCTTTTGGATGCACATGACAATTCCAGCAATCATTAGTGTGGATTGCTTTTGTCTCTTCTAAACGTTTTTTTCCCTTTTTTTTTTTTGTTTTTTTTTTGGTTTGGTTTCGCCTCCAACTTAAGCTTAAGTATATACGATATTCTATGTGTGCCTGCGTGTGTGTATGTGTATACGTGTGTGTTCAGTGAAATTCCATGGATTTGCAAACAGCCTCACGGTGATATTCACTTGAAATATATCAAAATAAAAGAATCTGCTGCTGTTTCTTCTCTTTTGTTTTGTTATCCAGACTTGTTCGGATTTGTTTTATTGTTTTGTTGTTTGAAAACCGGTTGCAATTAAAACTAAAACTGCAAATAGCAGCACCGACAACAATAACATAACATAATTTTGAACATTCATCATAATAAAAAAAAGTTATTTTATAAAAATAAAATTAAAACATTAATAACAAAAATATTATGAAGAATTTTAATTAAGAACATCTTTGCTTAGTTTTTCCTTTTTTCTCGTTTTTCTGTCTTGAAAATGATTCACAATCAAAAAGAAATTCTAATTATTATATTCATAAAAATATTTATATATATTTTGTTTAAATTACTTGCCTTTTTAAATTTTCTTTTCGTTTTTTTTTTTGTTTTTTTTCTGTTTTTGCATTCTTTACGCTTTACGTTGCTTGACTTGATTTTATTGTGTTGAAAAAAAAAATATATATATAAAAAATAATAATAAAACTTTTTTCTTTCATTAGAATACATTTTTAACAAAAAAAAAAAAAAAGAAAAAAAAAATTCATCTCTAATAACAAGAAAAACAACCAAAACTAAAAAGTTTCAGTTTTCAACTGTCATCTTCCAAGTCGTGTCACAAGTTATATCTTAAATAGAGAAAAATAACAGCCACAACGAATTGTCTACACCATCATCATTTTAAACGAAAGTTGTTTATGAATTAAGGTGAGTGAGTTTATTATTTAATATTAATTTTATATGAAAAAGATTTTTTTTATAAACATAAAATTATTTTCTATAGTAAGCAAAAGATTTGATAAACACTTTCAAGGCATTTTTCGTCAAACTTCCGTGATCTGCAGGTCACGACTAAGACTAAGGTACGAAAAATTGTTATTGGCTCGCAGAAAATATGTAACGTAAGTCTGACAGTTCTCCCTCCCTCATAAAGTGAAAATCGACTCTTTCTATAATGAGGCATTACTCATAAAAATCGCAAAATAAAGGACGAGTGTTTACAAATACAAAAACAAAGCTTGTAGGTTATATCAGAAAGTTCCTTCTCCCCTACAAGATGAAAAGCGAATCTGTCTAAAATTACATATTATTCGCACCAATCGCCATAAGGCGAAAGACATTATTCGAATGTGAGAAATGGGCAAACAATTGGAACAGCTAGCCATTCGTAAAGATCAATCAGTAGATTCTAGAGAGGGAAAGCCCTTTCTTATCACACTATGGAATGCAATGGATATCACCTCTGAAGCTTCTTTATGCGTGCTGCATCTCCTTCCTTGGAAAAAAGCGCCTTGACAGCGCAGAAGAAGCATGAGAGAAGCCTGATTCCCATCAGTACCATCGGCACAGCCATTGAAGAACTGTAATGAAGTGAAGACTATTTTGAAAATGGATTACGCTTCGAAAAACAAAAAAAGTTGTAGTTAGACTTAATCCACTTAAGCACTCGACGTCAATAGCCAAAAACTAGTTTCTCTAGTCTTTGATTTAAGCAAAATCTTAGGAGATGTTATGACCTACTTTTTGATATGTTTTAATAAAACATATCACTCAATAATTTCCTAACATGGCATACAGATGTAGAACGACTGTTGACGAATCCCTGTGATATTTAGATAGCGCCAACCTGCAGACGAAAAATATCAAAGTTTCATGACATTCCAAGCATTAGTTTACAAAAATAAAAGTGGCGTCCCAGGGCTGGTACTATTTGAAAATCACATAAGTTCATCAATAGTGACGACATCTACATTTCATATTACGAATTTCTGATTGATATGTTATTTATAAATGTAGGTACATAAGTGCTCCGAGAAATTTAAAATTTATCATTATTTTTTTGATCAGAACATCTATATATATATGCGTTTTGTATGTATATCAAACTTGTTCAATATCTTGCGAATAAAAACAAAAAATTGCAAATTAAAATGAACAGACAAAAAAAAAAAAAGCATTGTTATAATTAAATCAAAGGAGAAGTTATATTTGGCTTGAATCGAATATTTCTAAGGTATCGTTAACTTCGATTGGAACGAGTAATATCTTCAAAAATTTATGATAATTATATTGTATAAGAGTAGCAAACAACGAATTGTAAAGTAGAGCTTAGTTCTTTTTATATATATGGAGCACTTACGATATATGAACTAAGGGATATCTTATAACGAATTTTGATACAAGTTGACGAGGGCTTATAGGGCATACCAGATCGTCTTAACGCTAATTATACATCCCGTTATTTATTCGAGACATTTTAGTAAAAACTTGGTTGGCCAAGTAAACTGTTATTCGAACCAGATTTAAGATTAAGTTCCCCGCTCTAAGCGAAGCTTGGATTTTCTTTTACTCGTTGTGGGCGCGTTCATGAACCGACTGAAGGAAAGGAAAAGAAGGCGTTTTTTTCTGAAAGCAACTTTACACAAATCGTATTCGAATTGTCAGTTTTCACGTAGATCGAGTTGTTTGTTTTATGCGTGATTATCGCCAATACAATCTCTGTGACGGTCAGGAAAAGGCCGCAATAAAAACTTCGTAACATTGATTTCTGCATATCAAGGAAGCGCTTTTTGTTTGTCGCCAAATTTTTAATTTCTTAAAGTATTTTTTAATTTTTTCTATAATATTTACATAAAATGAATTTATTTTAATTTGCTCTTTTGTTATTTGCTTTATTTACTTTAAAGTAGAAGCACACATACGCACATGTAAACAACATTGTGTTTATTGTATATATATATTTTTTTACATAAAAAATAGATAAGAATTTATTAACTTTTTGAAGTCAAGCACATCTGTTTGCACATGTGCTCGCATACAGATGGATATGTAGATAATAACACGTTCGAATGTTTGGCAATAATAAACACATTAAATCGGTTATTGACAGTTGCCACTACATTTGTTTATATACATAAATAAACATACGGTATATTTATTATATAAATAAAATTGTTTTTTTCTTTGTTTTTTTGTTTATACCTTCCATAGTGCGTTATATTAAGTTCGTCAGAAGGGAGCTCGAAGATTCGAGCCGAAAACCGTACAAATTATTATTTAACTAAAGGTGTACATGATTCATTTTTGATTATCGTTAATAGGAGAATCGATAAGAAGTTTAGCGGTAACTGTCTGCTAAAATGAGGCTTAAGATAAGAAGTTTAGCGGTAAGACAATAAGTTGGATTACTTTTAGTACGGGGAAGCGAAGCATTCCTCGAGCTTCGAAATGCTGTCCGCAATGAGATGACAGTGTCATAAGTCAACTCGAAAGTCGTTTTGGCAAAACGTCGTTTTGGAGAAAATTGAAAGTTCTCGTGATTTCACGCTTTCCTCTTCCTTTTCTCGAAGCATTAGTAGATCGTTAGCATAATGTTCTTGACTCGAGCTTTTCTGCAGCTTATGTGCAATATTCTTTAAATATATTGATAAGGTAGTGTTCTACACATCGTGTCGTACGTCTTATCATACATAGTATCGTGCATAGTATCGCATATTGTGGCGCGTCCATCGTATCATCTCTATCCTGTCGAAGATTGTATCATGCATCTCGTCGAATATCGCAACCTATGTTGTAGCGCATACTGCATCCTTTGTAATTTAAAAAATTTCATATCCTACAGCATAGTGTATGGTGCATCATATCAAACATCGTGCGTAGTGTATCGCTTAGTACATGCTATCTTACGTCAGTCCATATACACCCTAGCGTTTATAGTGTCGTACATGCTTTCATATAAGATTTAGCAAACATTAACTTTTATACCGTATTATATTTGTTTGCGCGTACCGTATGTCACACCGATTGGTAGCGTACATAATTCTTTATGTCAAATCCTATATATACTTCGTTACATATTTTTCTGAAGCATACCTCATTTGATGTTCTTTTGCACTGTCTACAGTACCGTATATCGTGTCATTTATCATCTCGTATATAGCGTATATATTTCAAACTATTTGGATGTGGATGGGCAAGGCTCTAATAATTATTGATATCAGATTTTCATGTCGTGATCTTTAATAATTTTGAGAGGTACCTATACTCCGATTTAGTTGTGTTTTGAAGAAAAATTATATTGAATCGTGACGGCAGATGAAAACCGTACGTCATGCGATATCAGAAGTGCAGGCTGCGATTTACAACAAATTAAAGGAAGCATAATAGTTGGATCTGTAAGATCAATTGCGTGTACAGTTCTCAAATGGCTCTACCAAAATGTACTATTGTAAGAAAAACTGTCGAACATACTATAGGTTGGTTTCTCAAGAGTATCGCTGCAATTACACATAGTATCCTGTTCTCTAAATTCACCAGATATTGCTTTTGAAGATCAATGCCAACTTTCAGTTTGTGCGAGAATCACTTCCATCGGAAGAATAAGCAAAGTATTGGCTTTTTAGCTTTTGCAATAGATCTTCAATGTTAATTGGGAATATCTTTAGATCGTATTCACTCTGCCCAGTAGGATCTTCAAATATTCGAGGTTATAAACTTTTTGCAAATCGTGTACATGGAGGGCTGGTCATTTCTGATGTGAGATGTGTTTAGGATACAGGATACTGCTCAAGAAATGCATGTATTTTCGAAATGTTAAAGTTCAGTAGTTGCGACGACCTCGGCAGTATCGTTGTATAACATTTTCTTAAGTACGAAAACCATTTAATTTGCTTAGTAATTGTTTAATTTGTATGACCGGCAGATATATTCTTACATAAAATCATGACCATAAGTAATTGCTTGTGTGTATAGGATTTGCTGTAAATGTCATGCAACATTTGGAAAAAAGAGAAGCTAATGACCTTCAGAGTGCTTTTTAACACATCTTATGACAAAAAGTATTTAAGTCACTAGTTTTACACATGTATTAAAATATCATTTTTATCATAATATGTATACACGAGCATGCATGTAATTGAAACTTGAAATTTTAGCTCACATACAGAATAGACGACGTCAAGCTGTTAAGTAAGAAAACTAATTTCGTACTCATTGAGGTGAAGGTATATTAACGTAAGCTGCTGAGCAACATGTGAGTCTTGTTGCCTTAATTATGTTGCTGCACTTTACGTGTACTTGATTAGTAAAATTTTTGATTAAATATTTTTGGTTGCATTACTGTTCTCTTTTGGTTTCGCTTCTTTTTTTGTTTTGCTTGTAATCACAGCAATTAAATGACTAAGAGGATAAAACGGGGAGCTAGGGGCACTTTTGAAAACATTGCTTCCATGTTATTATATCCCTACTGGTTGCGAAATTTTTCCCACAGCGAAATAATCAAAAGGTTCCCTTCAGGGCAAAGTTCTTTGTACGCAAAGGCAGTTTCATTACCGACTGAATTGTTGTTGTTGTTGTTGTTGTTAATATCGTCACAAGAAAATATTTATAAGGATTTTTTTGCCCACAACAATGGGGATATGTATGTGCTACATATGTTAAATGTTTCCATGGGGAGAACACAAGCGAACCATAAAGTATACGCATCCTTCATAAATCCTTATAACGACGGCGTTTCGCTTGTTTCATCTGCCTTCTATTAAACTCACGAATGTATTCGACGCCGGATGGAGAATGCTCAAGTTGTAGAATGGTACAAGTTGCATTTATGGTGAAAAAGTTTCCAAGCACCAAAATAGTTCGGCAAAACTCATTCTAGTGAGATGTGTTTAAGGATCAAATAACATTTTAAAATTACTTGTATCGGCCCA